TGCGCGTCCGGAGCCTGTGCTCCGCAAATGGGAGAGGCCACAACAGTGAGAGGCCCGCATAACGCAAGAAAAAAAAAAAAAAAAAAAAAAAAAGACTCCTCAGCAGCGGTTCCCTCCTCTGAGTCTCATCACACACTCCTCATGACAGCAGTCCCACTTCAATCCGGCTGGCTGCGGACCAGCCTGGCTCCTCCGCTGGCATTCTGAACTCCAGGAATAAAAAGACTGTGTTTCCCTTATCTATGAATCGTCTGTATATACCTCAATAGTCTGACTCAAGGTGCTTAGTGATTTTGGAGTTGAACTTAATCCACGATAGGAACCACTCATAAGATCAGAGGTACTCACCCTGCTCCTTGCCTTGATACGCTTATAAACAAAGTCAGGGAAGGGCTTCCGGGGGATGTAGCGTCCAGAGCCTTCGGTGACATGAAGGGTGCCGTCTTCCAGAACAATCTTCCCCTGGCTGATGACCACCAGGGGAGAGCCACGGCACTCCATTCCTTCGAAGATGTTGTATTCGAGAGACTAGAGGAAGGGAACACAGTAAACTTCAGAATCCACCCTCCATCCTGGCGAGATCTCATCGATCTGGCGGCACCCATGACCCAACATCACTCGGACGAAAGAAAAGCCCAGAGATGAACTCCCTCTCCTGACTGGCCACCCAACAGGACTTAATCTCTATGTCTTAATTCTGTCTAGAACATGGCATAATCTTTCCTACCTCTCAAAGATTTGCGTTTGTTCATTCCTGGGTTTCGGCACCAAAAAAAAAAAAAAAAATTGGGGGGTAAAAATAATTGAACAGAAAAATCGTATGGAAAAGCATGAGGGTTTGTAAATGCCACACGAATGTAAGAAAATGATGCCTCGTATTAGCGGTGACTCTGTTCTTACTAAATCAAGCTCCAATCAGGTTAAAATCCCGAGAAGCCTTCTCTGACCAAGTTCTAAATTTAATCTTGCAATGAGCCATCCACGAGTAGGTTTTCCCACTGGTTTGCCTGGATTTCCAATCTCTTAAGAGATGTGGTCAAGCTGAAGTTCCTAAATGAAAGGACTGTGGTAACTCCAGAGACAGGCCTTTGATAAAATGTTTGAGGTTTAATTTCCCAACAAGGCAGCCATCCTTTTAGTTTCCAGCTTCTCACGGTGAAAGGGGGACGTAGCCACGTGCCCTCTTGGAAACTATGTGGGGTCTCTGAGTGAGTTTGCTGCTGTGACGACAGGAAATCGGGGCATTACAGTCGATGGTAAAACCTCAACTCCTCCATTGCTCCTTCCCCAGATTCCAGACGCCTGCCCTGCTCACAGGTACACGTGGCCGGACCTGGAGAATTAATAGGCAGCTCCATCCATAAAAAGGAGCTGGGCTTCTGGGGAGATTCAGACCAGGTTATCAGCACTGAAGAGTCCGTCTGTGACTAGAGCTGTTGTACTGCCATTCAGGGTAACAACCCCTGCCTAGTGCAGAGGCTGGTGAGTATGGAGAAGCCCCCGGCTGGCTCTATCTACAGCTCACATTCGACCAGTGGTGTTGATAGAAAAGGCCAACAGGGGGTGGCAGCCCTACTCAGAGGCTCAAAGGAGTAACGTGGAAGCTACTGAAGGAATGAGGGAAA